GACACTTCTGAGTTTGAAGTGAGCGATTGCACTCCTGATGTTTTCTACCACAAACGTAGTAAAAAGACATGAATCCTTCTAAATATACAACAAAACAAATCACGTAGACCTCAAAGCTGTCATCTACAACCACCTTTCTGGCATAAGAAACAGCCCCTGAGGAGAAAGAGTGCAGCTCACGATGGGCCGAGCGTCTTTTCTTTGGCGTGGAGGAACTGGCCTTGCGGAGTTTTGTTGCAACAGAGCTGCCTTTGTGCCAACTAGAGGAAGAGTTGTGTGTGTGGAAGTCACTTCAGACGTCAGCTTGAGGTGGTGTCACCTCATTGTTTAGCAACTTGTTCTATTCTTTTCTTTTTGCATGAAAACATTAGATATTTATATAATTTTCGTACTTATATTAATTGAGAATGTGTTCCAGAGGTTTTAGTTTTTAAACATTTCCTTTAAAGCAGGACTTTTTCTATAAGTCAACTGAACACATCATTAGAAAATAAACAAAACCTAAGAAATAAGTCAATAGATTAAACTAAATGTACTATTTCCAACCAGAATCATGTTCATTTCAGATGCAGAATAGTTTGTACCAATTCTCAGTGCGAGAAAAGGACTTTAGTCTTCTAGTTTTAAAGTGAAACAGAGAAGCAGCAGTTCCTACAGCAGCCCTGAAGCAGAAATGAAACTGAAGGCCTGAACACGTTAATCAGCCGCTTCATTTCATGCATTTTATGCAGAAAACAGCTCAATAATGTTGAATATCGCTGAGCAAAGCAAAGAGTTTGCAGAGTTTATTCAGTCAATGTGCTGAAGGGGACATTAACCACATTCAGTCGGTTTCCTCACCACAAACACTGGACTGCAACATGCATGAGACATAGAGAAAGACCAAAGAAGCAGATAAATGGAACACAAAGGTTTTGATCATATAATCTAATCCACTTTCTGAGCTTTCTCAGCTGCAGTTTTTCTGGTTTCAAATCATTCAAGGGTAAAGTTATCATCCATACTAAAAGTTAAAGTTTATTAAGTCTGAAAATTAAGTACATAAAATATCTTGCTTTTGCATTTTTTCACCTCACTAAGTTGGACCTAAATGCTTTGGTGTCCAGAGGCCAGCAGCAGCAGAATGAAGCCCTGATGACTTATTTCAGAGGGCTGATACAGAGGCAGTCATTTTAAGATTACCAGGCGCTTCCTGAGATTTCTTTACTGCGAAACGTATCTATCGTATGAGAATTCCAAAAATCGGTTTGATGTCCTGAGCACTGCCGTGAAGCAAAATGGTTTTGTTGTGGCCATTTAAGTTGACTTTTTGGAATTCATATGTATGTGGAGGGGGGTTGTGGTTTGTTTTTTTAATGACATAAACATTTTAATGCTGCTGTTGGCTCAGGGATTATTTGTATGTACTTCAATAAACGATTTTAATATCAAAGCATCGTCCAGTGGTCAGTGATTTACTGATGTAGAGATTTAGCTGAACAAGACTGGTAATTATAATTAAGTATTTTTTCCCTATCTTTATAATACCATGAGCTTTTGAAACATGCATGAATTGTTTCAGTTTGAGATTATATTTATAAAGACTGTGGAGTGGACAAACGACTCAAACATTTCACTATTCGTTGGCCATTTTATAATGTCCATCAGTGAGTCAGTAAAGAGGAGTCAACAGGGGAAGCTGATGTGAGGATTTATGCCACAAAGCAACAATGGAAGATGACATCATTTAACTGAAACACAGTAAAATGATGTCGAAATAGATCAAACAGCTCTTCCTAACCAATGACTTAATGTGTAGGAGGTAGATAAACACTCGATGACCGTTTAGCTTGAGTGACATTTGAGTCTATGGATGAGTCTATGAGCATCCCTGAGTCTCCTTCACTTTGAAACTTTAGTTTTTTCTATCCTGCTGATAATGTTTTAGTGCACACATTTTTAAGTGATCGATAACAAATAGGTGGATGCTTCTTTCAGCTCATGGTGTCACAGGAAGAATGTGATGTAATCCATTATAAAAGGAAGTAAGATAAGGGCATCGTGTTATAGGACGTCAATGAAACAGGTACAGAGTGAAAACTCTCAAACTCCATTAAGCATCAACATCTCTAAGTAACGTGGCCTCTGAGCTTCTTAGAATATTTTCATGTGTGAACTAGTCAGACATAACTAGTATATACCCCCACTGGCTTATCTTATCCCATCCAACAAGTTACATTTATCATGATTAAACATACATCTGAGGCCAGATCTGGTGTTTCTGTCCACCTACCCTGGAAGGGGGTTTTTTTCAGTTGAAGTGTGAAGCTAACCGCATATTTCCTTTTAAGCTGACTACAGAGGTTAGACTTCTTGTTCCTCTCTCAGGTAGGCCTCACTCCCTTTCTAACGGTTCTTATCCTTTCCCGTAAAACAAGGCTGGTTCGAAGAAATTGAAGCACAACACAGGGCAAAGTGCCACAGCGTGAAACGGGGGTTACACGAGTAGTTTGATGCAGCCGGATGTGCAGCCACAGAAGGGAGACAGACTCTTTCTGGAGAGGCTCAAGATTTTTGCATCATGGAGGTTTGGAGTGTCCGGTTATAGATGTGATAACGTCAGATCATAAAAGACAGTTACACACTCTATTTTCTTATCGTTTCCCCCTTCTTGGCCTTCAAACGCCTCACGTGCCACAGTGATGCCTTCAAGTGACAGCCATGTGAGTCCGAGGCCACCCGATCTCACCCCCCTTTTACCTGAGAGAAGCGGTGAGGAGGCCGGTGGTTTCTGGGAGTGGAGGGTCAGGAGTCCCGTTGCTCGTCCTCGATGGCTCCGTCCGGCTGCTTTCAGGCTCAACGCGCGACAGGCAGCACTCTGAATCGGCACCGAAAGTAGAGTGACAGCACATCTATTCAAATCTACGAGGAAGGAAGTGACACGCAGCGCTTCAGAAACAGGAATCAAAGAGGTTTTGTCTTTATATGGCAATGCACGCGGGCTTCCAGGCAAGGTGACCCCCCCCCCCACGCCCGCTTTGAGGGTTTTTTGGCGACGGCTGTGGCGACATTTAGGTGTCACACAAGTTTGGGGCGGATTTTTGACATCTTGAAGAAGTTTGTTAACATTAGCACATTTAATGAAAACAAGATTTGTGTGAATAACTCAGAGTCCTGATTTATTTACACTAGTGTAATCTGAACATATTACAGGCTCTAAATGGGAAGAAAAAACAGAGAACAAGGCAGTCAGAATAAAGGTTAAACACACCTCTCATTTAATCTATCATCCAATCAGCAATTCTACCCCTAAGAGACAAAAGAAAATCACTAAATACAACTCCAAACAGCCCATGAAGAGGCATCTTACCTCACAGCTCACAAGTATTGGATTGGCTGGAGCAGAAAAAATATATAATGACAATAATTAAAAGATGAGGTAGAAATGAGAGGTCTGATAACAGGGAGATGCAACTATGAGTCCATCTAAATGGAGCAGACTCAAAAGAGAAGAAGAGTGTCTGGCAACTTTGCTGCAGACCAAAAAGGACAACCGGTTCTCTCAGACAGCAAAAAAAAGCATTAAAGCACCTGCTTAGATTAAGTATAAATTAGTATTGAGCAAAAAGAGAGAAGTTACTGGAGGCCGTGACCGTGGCGACATAAGTAGACAAGTGAGTAAAAGGAAATTGTATTTGGCCGATTGATGTCTGTAGTAAGTCAGGACTTTACAGCTCCCCACTAAAAAGCTATGCCTCCTCACCCAAAAAGTCCCACTGTCTGCTGATTGGTTAAATCTAGTGGCCTGATCAGGCACCATTAACCATTCTCCATTCGCTATCTTGAACTCAAACTTCAAGAAAGTGTTTGATAAAAAGCCATCTTTGTGACTCAAGATTTAACACTATTTCTAATCTCTTTCCACAGCATATTACAATTAAATAGAATAAAATAGAACTATTTGACATTTCTGTTCTTAGATGGGAAGAAAAACGTAAATAAATAATTCAATTAAAATCATATAAAAACTGTTCGACTTAATCAGATCTCATGAGGCCTATGTTCACAGTTATCCACAATAGCTGCTGTTAAAAACAGAACTATGGATTAAAACAATGTCAAAACCTGATGGGAAAAAACAGCCATGAAAAGACAGTCATTTACAAAGAAAGCATGAAAGCCCTTATTGTTAATTAGATTCAGCTGTGCTTAACGATGTTACATAAACCATTGCACATTCTTAATGAATTCACCATGTAAGGTCCAACACTGTGAACCATGAGATCAGTTTACAAGAGTGGCTCTTACCTAATTAAGCTGTCAGCGTCTGGTCCGGTGGGTGAGTTTCCACATCACAAAATAGAACTCTCTGAAACTTCTGAAAGCCTTCTTCTGGTGTGGTTCTGCATTTTCTTGGTTACAGTGTTGATTTTAACCAACTGCTCACTTTCAAGCGAATGTGGATGCAAATGAACTGCTACAGGATTTCTGGAGCAACTTTGGAGAAGACCCTGAGTTTGCTATAGAGTGAAGCAAGCCGGCGACATCCATGTCTGTCCTCCAAAGAAAAAACAGAAGCAGAAACATGAAGCTGAGACGGATCAAACTGTGCACAGGAGCAGGAGTGAGAGTTTTGACCTGAGTTGATGGTTGCTATGCTGCGGTTGCTTGGTGAGATGGGACAAAAAAGCTCATCAGTCAGCAGTGATGAGCAGCTGCTGCCATCCTACCTGTGCTGTCACTGCTTTTCTTTAACAAACAGCAGTCAGTGGCTTTTTATCGTATACTTTAAAGGATCTAACACTGACATTTGAAAAGGAATAATTCTGCTTAAGATATAGATTTAGAGATTTTTATCACAGATATGCTCACCCCAGTCTCTTGTTACAGGATATAGTCGTATCCTCTTACATGTACTAGGTGAACTCAGGACTTGAATAAATAAAGATGAATGAAGAAATCCTGTTTCATGCAAGATTGTCACTGTACAGTACGTTTAATTAAATGTATTATTCATCTATATTTGGAATTTTAATTTTTGATTTATTTTCTAAGAAAAGTGGACATAGTTTTAAAAAGTTTATGCTGCAACTGCATCACTTCAATTTTATTGATAAAGTAATGCTGAACAGAATTGTAATCCTAATAGACGAAATGTTGTGGAACACTACCGCTGTAAAGTCACGTGTCTATGATATGTTGGTAAACAAACGCTAAGCCAATGGCGTGGTGGCTGCTTGGTCAGGTGACCGGAAGTTTGCCAAGTCAGCAGCTGTGTTGTCGAAATGGCTGGACACGAACATCATCATCATCATTTCTCTCTTTGTTTCTGTGATTTAATGAGGTAAAATACATCTCACAGCCACTCTATTTTTAGTTTATGATTAATTGATAAAACTGTATGCACACTATAAGTGTTTTAGAAATATATTCAGGAAGGGAGAATCGAAGCGACAGCACACGGCTAACTTTAGCATAACTAGCAGATAACTGTGTGATTTCAAACTATGGACGGTTTAGCGCGTTCCTTTTCATTGCAGTAAGCTTCACCAATGCTTTTGTGTCTTCATTTCCCTCTGACTCACCCTCTCCAGGCTGATGTGGTCCTTGGTGATGCCCTGCGTCTACCTAACCCTGTTCCTGACCCTGCTCATGACCCTGGTCCTGCTGGGTCTCCGCTTATGGCTGCAGGGCCGCCGCAAGTCCCGCCGGGCTCAGGACGGAGGTCCGGCGGTGGCTTTCTTCCATCCGTATTGCAACGCCGGAGGAGGCGGGGAACGGGTCCTCTGGTGCTCCCTGAGGGCCCTCATGAATCGGTAACACGTCATAGTGAATCAGTAAATGTTTAAAGAAGTGCATTAAGGTGTTATTTTTTTAATAGTAAGTCGCTGCCCCAACATGAAAAAACAAATGAGACCTTCTTAAACCTGTGTGAATTGTCTGATTTAATTATTCCCCCCATGTTTACATGACTCTAAATGTAAGCAAACAGATTCTGGGCTCTTTCCAGGTCTCAGTGACCTGCATGTTTGCTCTTTTGGGGCAAGTGCAAACACTAAACTGAATGAGTATAATCAGACTGATCCACAATTTTCCCCGGCGAACAACACTTAATAGAAACTTTAACAACAAACCATCAGAGTGTGCATTTAATGCTGTGTTTTTCAAGTCTTTGCCCCTCGTTCCAGATACCCCAGCGTGTCCTTTGTGGTTTACACGGGGGATCAGGGAGTAACTGGTGAGCAGATTTTGGAGGGTGCGCGCCAACGTTTCAACATTACACTCCCTCGATCAGTCACATTTATTTTCCTGCGTCACCGCGTGCTGGTGGAGGCCACTTCTTACCCTCACTTCACCCTGCTGGGCCAAAGCACTGGCTCCATGTTTCTTGGTAAGATCAGGCCAGAGTGAAGTGAGTGAATGTCTGTTTTGGTCAATTTGAATTTGAAGTAGGGATTCAAAATTGTATCAGAGGTTTGCATTAATTACAAGCATGATGTATCACTAGCTTTTGGATCTGGTTTTGCCATAAATCAGCTTGCATAAGTAAAAAGTTAAGTAAAACTCTTGGGTGATTAATGGTGAATGAGGATGCTTCTTTTTTAGACCTTATAGTGAAAAAAGGCAAAACCTAGTTTGTGTTTGTTCCAGGGTGGGAAGCACTTATAGCCTTTGTTCCTGACCTGTTTGTGGACTCCATGGGTTACGCCTTCACGCTTCCAATCTTTCGGTACCTGGGAGGCTGTAGGGTGGCGAGCTACGTTCACTATCCCACTGTCAGCACTGACATGTTGTCTGTGGTCAGAGAGAGGAACCCCAGGTAATACAGCACAATTACAGACACAATAATACCTGTATGTATTGATGTGATTTTTTTAAATAATACCCAATCTTTCTAGTCTTATAGTAGCCCCCATTTTTCTTGGATCCCATATGGGACAAACAATACACACCAGGGAGTTTTTATTTGATAAAGGACCTACAAAACGGTTCACTTTAGTGTGGGTTTACTTTTAGGAAGCCTCATAACACTGTCTTCTTCCAATTTCAGGTTCAACAACTCAGATTTCATCTCTAGAAACCCCATCCTGAGCGCTCTGAAGGTGGTGTACTACTGCTGCTTCGCTCTGCTCTACGGCCTGGCCGGCTCCTGCAGTGACGTCATCATGGTTAACTCTACCTGGACCATGGGGCACATCCTGGCTCTGTGGCGGTCCCCGAGCCGCACCAGCATTGTCTACCCTCCTTGCGACGTCCGGGCCTTCCTGGACGTCGCACTGGAGGAGGACAAGGATGAAGAAGACGAGATGGAAGAGGGCTGGGAGGAGCTGGGACGAGAGCTGGGAAGTGGGGAAGAAGAGGAAAGCGAAGAGGACAGAGAAGGGGACGGAAAGGGCCACTCCATTGTGTCGGTGGGTCAGTTCAGACCAGAGAAGGACCACCAGCTGCAGGTCAGAGCCTTTAAAAAGCTGCTGGACAGGAAAGGGAACGGGCCCTGGGGGAGGGAGTCCCTACGGTTGGTGCTGATTGGTGGCTGCAGGAACCAGGAAGACGAGGAGAGGGTCCTGATGCTGCGGGGACTCTGTCAGGAACTCGGTATCTCCGACCAGGTGGAATTTAAACTCAACATCCCCTTTGAAGAGCTGAAGAGGGAGCTGGTGAACGCCACCATCGGTCTGCACACCATGTGGAACGAACACTTTGGCATCGGTAAAGACACATGCACACAAACATGTAAATCTATGAAAATGTCTACATTTATATAGGCTTCCATTGTATTTTAGTCTTTAGTTATTCCAGAAGTGTTTCCGAAAAAAAACACTAGTTGAAATGAACATGCAAAAATGATGTATTTTGAAGCCAATGCTGATGGAAATGATCTGCTACCTGATGACGTTTAATCCTGCAGTGCTGGTTCACGTTTCGGCCTCCATCTGTTCATGAGTTTAGCTGGTTTCAACGTTAATCTTCATCGCTCTTTTCAGGTGTGGTGGAGTGTATGGCCGCAGGCACCATCGTTCTGGCCCACAAGTCTGGAGGTCCAAAGCTTGATATCGTGGTGCCCCACCAAGGCGGGCAGACAGGCTTTCTGGCAGACAGCGAGGACAGCTACGCCGCTGCCATGGAAACCATACTGACTCTGTCACCGTCAGCCAGACTGGAAATAAGACGCAATGCCCGTGAGTCTGTGGCCCGATTCTCAGACCAGGAGTTCGAGGTGTGTTTTCTGGCTGCCACGGAGCCTCTGATGAATAAACTGGTGCCATGAGGAAGAGCAGAGGAGTCTTGGTGTCCACCTGGGGTCAGAGGTTTGTCAAAAAGACGTGTTTCCGAGCTGTTTGTCAGTCTGTTAGAAGATTACCTTAAAAACTACCGGGCTTACCACTCTGTCTGGTTTTGTTTGATTGAAACGATGCCTCATAGCTAAATGGGCTGGAGCAGCAGAAGTCGTGTCTATGCTTACAACAAGATAAGATCACAGTTGAAGACTGACATGACAGCTCAATCTCCCCTCGAAATCTTATGAAAAATAACATAGACATTCAGAGGAGAGAATCCTGGTGGACACCTGCAGATAAAGTTGATATTGTATCCTACAACAAGAGCAAATATGTATAATTTCCAGTGACTTTGCATGTGTCAAACCTTCACCGATACGCCATTGTACCAGTCTTCGGCAGCAGAGCTGGAAAATGATTTGTAGCACGTATAAATGACATTGTGTTCACTGTTGATGTGTATTTACATAACGGATGAAGAGATACCTCAGAGGTTAGGAAGCTTAATCGCATTTTCCCAGTGGGAAATTAGGACTTAATATGTGACATTTGGGCAAAAATGAGATAAGAATATTGTTAATATTGTTATTGATGTCTTAATGCTATTTGTTTTCTCCAGAAATAGTTTGTGTTTAAATGGTACACTGGCTCCAAGTACAAAAAACAGCCAGATTTTATCAAAATGAAGCAAAGTTTTGTGTTCCTGTTATGCCTCGCTTCCAAATGTTATTGTCATAAAATAACGAGGACATCCAGGAAATGCTTGAGTGTAAAGGGCTCAGGTCTAGACACTTCACAGCTGCCAGGTTTATATTCCAAAGGTCGCAGAAATGTCGACCAACTTTCAAGAAAACCATCGAGCAAAAACGCGACGTGTTTCTATCCAAACTGGTGTGAACTGTCCAGCAGGAGCTGTTTAGGCTGCAGCAGCAGGACGCGACTGAAAGGAAAACACGTTTCAGTATGACTTTTTTTAGGTCAACATCATGAAATTAGTCTGCCTACAGTTCTTCCTTGCTCCATATCAACTTGATGTTCAAATGCCACTTCTTCAGGTTCGCTTTTGATTTCCATCCAGATATTAGGCGGTGCGTTGCAGAGGAGCTGTACAATATTTGAACAGTTTTGAATTTTTGTTTGTAGGTGTGTTTTAGAGCATGTCACGTTAAAGTCTGGCGTGTATTTGTCTTCCTTTTGATGCAGGAAGCCTTACGGTAAAGTGTTTGTGCCGAGCTAAGCCGGACTTAGAGCATCTCTGCACCGCAGATGTGACAACAGGGACTCATAGTTTTAAAAATATGTTCCTGCCTTTAATCGTATTTGGATGGTATCTTTTCGTCTGAGTTGCATTCCAGACCAAACAATGTAGGTGTAATGGTGACTGCCGTTGATGCTGACAGGATTTTGATTGACAGTGCCGTAATTTGACCTACTGAGACCTTAACAGACGGGTGGGGGGGGCGTATATAAAAAAAAAAAGTTTCTTTTTCTGCTTTGTGTGCACACTGCTTTAGCACTTGAAGATAATGACCAAATCTTTTATGTAGAAGTAAGTTTTCTTCTTGCATTCCTGTTTATGATCAGTTCTGAGCATGAAAATGTGATGATTTGCACAATACTAGCTAACCATTATTTTTAAAGAGGCATTACTACTATTTAAGTCCATATGTAGAGGCTATTTGGAGTTTTTTTCTTCTAAACAAACTGCAATAAAAGCAAAGATCAAACTATTTGGAGTGATTACTTGCCTGCAGTCAATCTGTGGTGAGAGTTTACAACAGCCCCTGTGCTCATCCACTGTCACAAAAAAACATAAATGCTGCTGACCTTTCCACAATATTTTTACCATGAATTGCAGAGACAATGTGCTGGCAGTACTTTACTGATTAAAGTTACACTTGGTGGGAAGATGTGAACCACACAGCCATCAACACTTAGAATCAAAAAGCATGTTTCACAACACTACTGGGACACCTTAAATTAGAGACAATAGAAGACAAATGTTTCCACTCACAGGTTTTCATCCGCTTCTGTAAATATGTCACAGGTTAGAAATCCTTTGTCTTACTGTCAGCTTCAGTGTGTGAGCGCTCAGGTAGCCGGATGCTTAATTAAAGCTCTTTCATTGTCTGTCTGGATCTCAACTGGACCTGGAGGCCAACTGTCATCTTCATGTTTTGAGGTTCCTGCTTTCTTCATGTGAACTCTCAACCTTCGTATGGAATGGCTGACCATCTGCAGAGGCTTCTGCTCCACCATGTTCCTTCTCTCCCAACTTCAACGTTTCCTGGGGGTTTTCATCTGAGCTAGAGTCCTCCATCACAAATAGGTTCCTCATGGAGTCTGCCACTGCTTCTCTCAGCTCATCTTCTGATTCCTCAAAGTTCCTGACGAGAAATGGAAGTTAAAATTATTTCATTCTGTGCAGGAGTTAAGCTCCAAATATGCACATTCATATTCACTATGTTCATTAATATGAAATTGTTCCTTGCAGTACCTTCTGTAAGCCAAACTTAACACTGAAGCTACAGTATTGCACATTTTTTGGGCAATGCCTTACACATATTTCCTATAATATATTTTATCTACTGATAGCTATATTTTTAATGTATTTGTAGGTCTGATCATTTAATAAAGTATTATTTACTTTTCTTTTTTAATGAGAATATTTGTTTTGTATTTCCATGTTGTAAGTAATTACAAGATTTACACACAAACATTTGAAAATTGTCCAAAGGTCTAGTTAATATCACATTTATGAAAAGGTGGTCCAGCCTCATGCACAAACCTAGATTACATGTGCAGAAGAAAATCACAAGGCTTATCAAGACAGAGAAACGGAGCGAGATTAACTCACGTGTCATCATCGTCCGACCTCGGCTCCAGACGCTCTTTGTCCATTTCCACATCAGAGTCCTCCTCCTCTTCTTCCTCTGGTCTGTTTTCTGGTTCTAAATCTGAGATGAAAAATGCCTAACTGTCTCTCTAGTCGAACCAGTAACTTTGCCCTCTTGTACTTTTTTTTGTCTCAATGTACAAACACTTCAGATTTATATCTGCTTTATTCAATTCTGTGATTGGACCAGGGTGAAGTGTCTGACCCGGACCTGGGAATGGTGTCTGACCTGAGCTAGCTGAAGCCAGAGTTGAAGATGTCAGTTCAGCCTGAGCCAGGGCGTCCAGCAGGGTGTCAGGGCAGCCATCGACCCACTGCCTGCGGCCTGCTGCATCTCCACCTGACGAGGGAGGGATCGTATTGCTCACATCGCTTTACAAAATACCTAAATATTCCCCTTAATCGTTCATCTTAAACTTATAATACTTCAACTATACTTAAAATGTAATTATATTCCTCGGCTACTAAAATCTCAAAAACTTTTAATGATTCATAATCGTTTATTTGGACATTTTAAAGCTATGCTGGACCTCTTTTACCTTCGACTGGCGTGCCACAGACTGAGTTCACGTCCATGTTTGCGAGTGCCACCAGCAGAGTCCGAGGAGTCTTTTGGCTCCACTCCTTTCTCGCCTTTGACCAGTCCCTGAGCTTCAACTCCTCTCCTCTCTGGAAGGTCAGAGTCTGATTGAGTGGGTCCACCTCCTGTTTGTGGAGTTAGCACGGAATGAGGGAAAGAAAGAGGAAAAGTGGGGCAGTGGTCTCATGTCCCCCATCTCTCACCTCCTTTGTTCCTCCATCAGAGGTTTTCTTCTCGTCTTCATTTAACCGAATCTCAAACATGATTCCCTTCTGCAGGTGTGCCCCAAAAAAAGAGAAAAATACATAAATCCTCCTCATTGTTTGATATGATCTGATCATGCTTCTTGGTTAGCACCACAACGAAAAACTCAGGTCAGTAAGAACGATCAAATGTGCATTACGATAGTGGTGTCAGGAAAGTTTATTTCAGCAGTTACAAACACCACACTACAACAGAATCTGAAAAAGCCTTAAGCATCTGTTGGTTGTGTGTGATCCATAAATGTTGACATCTAAGACATGAAGCCAACACTTTTGTGGCCGGTGTGCTCTCACCTTGTCATTGTGTTTCCTGGATTGCGCTCCCTTCTGATCTCTGTCCTCCCCGATCTGCCTCAGTGCTGCTTCCACATCCTGCAGCACAAAAGGAGCACAGAAAAATGTGCATTCTCTCCTCTTTGGTCCAGAGTAACTTTAAAATCCTTCCGCCCACACTCAGAGGTGCTGCACGTTTTTACCTGAGCAGGTGCTGCTTTCTGCTGGCCTTCACTGGCTGAGGAAAGCTCTGTGTTTTTGGGTTTCTCCACCACAAAGGTTATATGTTTGTTTTCTGGGAGAGACTGACACAAAATATTTTCAAAAATGCACGCGTCATTATCTGTGTAATTCTCTATGTAAGAGAAATAAAGGTGATATATGGACAAACTTGATAACAACAATTTCCCACACCTCAGTTTCAGCTCTTTGTTTCATCTGTCTCATGTCTTGGTGATACTGCTGTCTGATGGCATCGAGCTGACGGAGGTACTCCTAAGCCCACACACACACACACACACACACACACACACACACACACACACCATCAACGACAACACAAACTTACGTTATCCCTGCACAGGTCTTTATTGTGAATGTGTCTCTTGTATGTAATACCTGGTGGCCCTCTTGTCTCTTGTTGGTTGTGTGTTGGTGTTCAGGTGGTCTTTCTTTCTGCTCTGGACCACCAGGCTTCCTGCTGCATTCAGCAGTGTTCGGACGCAGACCCTGAAGGTCAGAGAAAAACATTGATAGTACATTCGTCATACAATTCCCATCGATGTAACATGATAATATGCATTTTAAAGATCCAGTTTTGGTCAGACTAACATAATTTCAAGTAAATGAGTGTAAGGATTAGATGCCTTCAGTGGATTGTTGGGCTGCTGAGCTTCCACTTACCAGCTGTTTCTCTGCTCTCAGCTTGTACTGATTAGCCTCCTGTCTTCTCTGCAGATACTCATTACGGGCAGCAGCCACTCTGACAGACACAGCAGAGAAAAAGAGGCACTACACTCATAACTGTTATTTAACAAATGTTGACACTAGGTTTCACCAATCTAAAATAATCAAAATTTAAAATGACAGAGTTAAATAACAAAAAAAGCTAAAACTGTCCCATTTCTGCTCTAACAGGCAGCGTTGAACTCTACATTAATCTGTTTTCATATTACAGAGTAACTTGAAGTTATAATAAGAGAACAATCAACAAATACAAAACTAATTGGAATCTACTTTTTTTTAAAGGACTGTTTTGTTAATTCAAATATCTCAATATTTTTCCACTCACAGCTGGTATGGTTCTACAGGAGGAATATCCTGGTCCTCACATCCCAGCATCACATCCTTCCCTGTCTCCTGAAGAGCAGAAAGAGGCGTTTCCACTTCGTTTCCTCTCTGAATGGCATCCAGCTGGGCATGGTAGTGCTGGTAAAGGCTGACAGGCGGCTGACCACTGATCCTGTTACCAGCAGTACACGTTAAAACTCAAAAACGTCACTGCTCAGCCTTTAAGTTTTGTCAAACAAGTTGCCACACAAATCAAATTGAGTATAGAAGCTGATGAGCCCGGACGTTCACAAAAGTTTTATTTCTGCTTCTTTTATATCTTTACCTAAAAAAAACTGTTGACAGAGTTTTATCTGTGTGGAGTACATTGTAAGTGGATTTTCACCCACCTTTGATTTACTGCAAACTCTCTGTTTGCAGCCAGTTGGCCTGCTCTTTGAAGAGCAGGCTGGAATTAGAGATAAATACAGTGTTAGAAAAACTGAAACAAAAAGAGTCAGGGGGTTCACAATATGGTTCAATGTGTGTTTCCCCTTGTGGATAATCCACTACGTCCTCCACATAAAGTGCTACAAAGACAGTTATCAATCTATAAATCAGCTCTTTGAACTCCCTGTTACTGAAATACTTGATTAATGCACAGGCTGATTCATCGAACAAGTGGAACCCTTAAAGAAATATAAACAAGCTCATTAGCTCAGATTAGTATGCAGAAACAGCACAGGTTTGTCTTCTGGTAACCATGTCTTTTGCATTGTTGCTGTTCTTCCTGATCATTACTTTGTAGTGGGCTGGGGGGTTGAGTCTATATGGCACTTTCCAGTTCGGTTTAGCTGGCAGTCTCCGGTCAGTGCCACTGGGTCTCACTGCTCCTCTTGCTTTCTGTTTCTTCTCTGGAAAAAAACGGAGAATAACAAGTGTAGACTTGCACATTGATGTTTTTAACTCACAAGTATTTGATAAAAAATATTGACTTTCTAAACAGTTCTTAACTTTTTTTCCATAAGCCCTCTGGGTTTTTTTTGTTGTAAATGAATTGTTTTTAGTTTTTGAAATTACATTCCACATAAGACAGCAACAAATGAACAGACATAAGAGTTGATAAGAGTTAGACAACAACCTTGAACGAGCTATTTCAAAACATGTAGTAAGATTTAGGATCCTCTGGGCTCTAAAGAACACTGTGTGCAGAGATTCTTCATGATTATCAGCCCACAATCAGCTTTTCCCCAGAGAACAGAGAGCAGAGAGTCATGTTGCCCTGGGCCTAATCTAATGTGATAGAGGGGAACCTGCTGCAGTGTCAGTAAATGACCACTAGGGCGAGTCTCATTCCATGTGTAAAAAACTATTCATGACTTTGGTTATAGCCTTTGCAAAGTAGTGATTGCACCATCACCAGCTGTGTTTGCTCCTCTTGCTCTGGTTTTAGCTGTGTTTGATGGTGCTGCCGCTCTGTTTCGGTGCAGCACTGTGTGGCTGAACTCCGCCTGCATCTCCTGCACACACAGGAAACCATAAACAGACAGACACAGACATGTGCATATATCAACCCACCTTAAGACCCTAATTCAGAAAAGCTGTGTTCTGATTTTATCAGAAGATGCTCAGAAAACAGAGCACTTTTCTCTCAGGCTGCAGGTTAAATTGTGTGGATCAAGGGATTGTGAAAGCACAATTTCAGGCCTTTAGTTATCAGCCTCCACCCTAGTGAAAACAGCTGCCAGTTTGGGTTTGGAAAGCAGATACTGTCTGTAACCTAAACACTCCCCTTTGACAAAGCTTACGGTTACGAATGGCCCGGTTGGCCATGAAACATCCTCGAGTTTCGCAGCCATAGCTCTACAGTCTACACTGTTGGGAGACATCCATGTCTGTTCTCTTTCTACTTTCCATGAATCTTTGTGACTTCATGTGGATCTTAGCTTGTGTTTCTCTTTTTATTAGCAAGTATCCTTCAGTTGTAGTTCTGCTGCTTGTTGACATCTATTTCCTATTTGTTTTTTTGGACTGCATATTTATGACACTTTGTCCATGAGGGAAACCAAACAGATTAATTACCTGAGTGTTCAGATGTTTGCTGATGTGTTTCTCAAAGAAGGGGCGTCGGAGAACTGAGCTGACCGACGGACGGTCCCGAGGGTTGACCTAAAAAAACGTGTTTGACAGTATAAAAAAAACCCCATAAGATGCAAAACAGTCTCTTTTCATAGTTCATTTTCAGAAATTACATTAAATACAATTAATATAATACTTTTCAAAATGGCAACTCATCAAATAAAATCACGAGAAGTAACACGATTAGTCGAGACATAACTGTCAATGGTCCAGCTGCTTTCATAAAATCCAAACCATTTGGGGTCTGTAACATAGAAAAAATGCTCAGACTTTGCTTGTATAACTCTGCCTTCTGTCAGTTTGATGCTCATAAGCTCATTATAAGTTTAGATTTAAAACTAATATCTTAATCCATCCATCCATTTTCTGAACCATTTATTCCCAAATCGGGGCCGTGGGGGGACTGCAGCCTGTATCTATATCTTAATTAGAGTGGAAATCAAATATGAAGTTACATAATACTATTTGCATGCTGAGTGTATCATGAACACCACTCTTAGTCAACACAACCTTTACAGGACGTTAGAGTCAGAAAAAGCTTTCAGGTTCTTGTTCATACCTGTAGTGTAAGCACACTTGTTTAACCTGCGTTCACACTACTACAGAAAAGGTGTGTCAGACCTTGAAGAGTTGGGTGATAAGCAGGCGCAGGTCGTGGGAGTAGCGGCTGGGTACTGGAGTATAACGTCCTCTGCAGATCTTACTGATCAGCTGCCGCAGGCTGATGCCCTCGAACTGACAAGAAGAAGGCATGTAAATGCACATATTAACACTACTTTAAGACATAACATGTATAAAAGTGTATGCATGCTGATTATAAATGTTTAAAGACACATACATTTCAATATACCAATCAGAGTAAAATCTCGGGCATCGAAATGAAATATTGGGATAGCTTGGTGACTGTCTGTGTACATACTTGGTTTGCAACAAATCCTTTCTCACTTCCAGCCAACACAAGATGTCCTTAAAAGGCTGGATGAAGTAAACAGGCCTAGGTTTTTCCATTATGAAAAGCATGTGCCTTTGTTTAGCCTGTCTGATGTCACTTGCTCAGAATCTGGCACATTTCCTTTATCTTCTGTGCCGTGAATGCGAAAACTTTTTCCCCCTTCCCTATGCTACCAGATCAAAACATACTTTAAATCTCCAGTTGACTTTTACATTTAGTTTTTACATGTTTTCATCAATGCTTTTCCTTGATATGCTTGGCATCAGTGTCCAATGGCTTAAGGTTAAAGGAACTGTCTGTCTTTTTATAAAGCTGCTGATGTGTAGGGTGTGATGTAGCTTACTGGATGCCTCAAGGTGCAAAGTTCATACAGCACACACCCCAAAGACCATATATCCCTGCAGAGACAACAAATATGCAGTCACAAACACACACAATATCAACATAAACAGACATGAATAACAACACAAAACAATAACAGCTTCACACACAACTCAGAATGTCCTTCTGGCTTCAGCTTGTTTTATGTAACCTAGCCTGATTCTTGTTGAAACAAGATCTAGCCATTAAGTTTATCATTATTTCATTCCCCCTTGAGTGAGTTAAAGTCATAAACAGTGAAAAATACCAAAGTGTTGAGAGCTGTGAAATCACCAGACTGACACAGCACTGAAAGAAAAGTCTAGTGAAAGAAGTTTTCTGGGATTTGCATTCTTGGCTCAGCATCAAGTATGCGGGTGTGTGTGCCCCTGTGTCTTCGTGTGGACCTGCTTTTTGATTCTGACAACGATGGCATGTTAAGGTATCTAAAAAACCTTTTTTAGATTAAGGTGAATGGCCAGATTGATAAATATGTCCATACACTGTAGATCACAGCAGCGTAAACACATCTGAGTGAGAGACAGAGGGAGGGGATAAATCAGACCTGAGCTTTACCGAAACAACACAGCAGAAAAAAAGGAGAATGTCAAAAACACGCAGTGGCAGGGGAAAAGGCGTCATCTGTTTTAGATGTTTGCAGGAGTGGGTTAGCTGTTAGCAGGCATAAACGTGTCTCTGTATGCGTTTGTACATGCTGCAGATGAAATCAACAACCTGCTGGTAGAATGTGAGGGACCTAAACCAGATAATGACAAAATGATAACATCTACTTACACGCCCACAAAGCTAATCAACAGCCACAGCCCAAAACCTTCACCTTCAGACTCTCTCTGAAAAGCTGGTAAAATCTTGGGGTAATACTGGACTCACAGCTGAGCTTTAACAGCCACATTAAATAAGTTACATCAGCAGCCTTTTACCATCTCAAACACATTACCAGAATTAGAGGAATAGTGTCTAAACCAGACATAAAAAGACTAATCCATGCATTTGTCTCTAGTAGGTTATACTACTGTAACGCCCTGCTCACTGGGCTCTAAAAGAGCTGTAAGACAGCAGCAGAAAATCCAAAATGCTGCTGCTAGAGTTCTGACCAGAACCAGGAAATCAACCGTATCAGTCCAGTGTTCAGGTCTCTGCACTGGCTTCCTGTCACTCAGAGAATAAACTTTGAAACAGCTATGTTTGTTTACTGTACATGTCTCTTCATGGTCAAGTGCCAAAATACATTTCTGACATGTTGCGAACAAGCTCGGACTTTGAGAACCTCAGGTTCTGCTCTCCTGCTGGTTCTTAGAGTCAGAACTAAACGAGGAGAGGCTTCATTTCAGTTTCAAGCTCCTAAAATCTGGAACAGTCTTCCTGAAGAGGTGAGACAGGCGCCAACTCTGACAATAATTAAATCCAGGCTGAAAACGGTTCTGTTTAACTGTGCATATGGAAACTGAGTGTATTTTGTTTGCACCTTTCACTTTTAATCTTTTTGATTAATTTTTTTAAATTAATTTTCTTTCTTTGTTTTTCTGCTTTTCAATTCTTTGCAAAGCACTTTGAATAATCTTGTACAAGAAATGCGCTATACAAATAAACTTGCCTTGCCTTGCCTAAAACAAACAAAAACAGGTGAGGGGGTTTGCTTATGGTGTGGCCACTACAGCTGGGATAAAAGGTGGTCTATATAAGAGTCTTTGGAGGTGGCCATTCATATTAAGGCACTTTTTCTTTCGATTTAACATTAAAAAACAGTCAAAGCTTCTAAATTAGTTTCCATTCCCATGAATAATTGCAATGATGCATCTGGCACTGAACAGGTTCCAAAGAGGAAATATTTTGGGGGATGCAAGATGACTTTCTTCATGAGCTTATAGTGGCTCAGGGGGTGCAGGGAATGTGCAGCCTAATGGTGATGGTGGAAATAAACGATGGCCTCAAAAAGTGGCCACAAATACGCACGTTTTGTTGTTGTAGGGCCGACTCTCGCAGATCTCTGGAGAAAGGTAGTATGGTGTGCCAACACAAGTTCTGGCCAGCTCCATGGTGCTGCACAGTTTACAAAGCCAACAAACTCAGTCAAGGTTAAAGAAATAAGAGAGTGAATCATTAAGTCAACGTTAAGTATACCTTTCTATTTACAAGCCTGTGATCGGGATGTTTTTTACTTTAAGACTTTATTTTAGGGAGCCAGTTTCTCATCTAAATGTGCATTATTTTAAATATTTTAAATGATTAAAGCATTCTAACAGCTTCAAGAATGAGCAATTTCGCAGCTATTTCACATACTTTCACCACTCAGGAGTGCAATACTGGATCATTGTCCTCAATAAAGATAATTCAAAAAGTAAAACAACATATGTTTTTCATTTGCATAATCAGGTAAACAGAGACAAGTTTGTGTAAATTTTTCTACTTTAAAAGAAAGAAATTGTATTAATTTAAATTAGAAAAAATTGTAACTTAATACTGTGGATACAAATACCACTTTTAACAAAACTGGAATGAATGCAGTTCAGAATTAATTTATTTCTCATTCTTTAGCAGAAATAATGTTGTTATTGCTTTAGAGCATTGATTGTTATTTAAACCTGTTTTATTTACTTAAACTTTTACATTTTTCCGTATCTATTTTATATCCATCCATTACCGTAACAACTTATTCCCTAATGGGGTCGCGGGGGGACTGGAGCCTATCCTAGTAGTCAATGGGCATCTATTTTGTATCATGGTATCATGGTAGTTTATGTTTTCCCTTTGCACTATTTGTCCGTGTTGTTTTTAATCTAATAACTCTTTAGGTCCTATTTACTTAGGAGATTACAATCACCCCAGTGCATTATATAAATGTGTTGTGCACTCGGCCAGACACTTTAATTACCTGTTGTAGCCGTGCACAACAGGCAGACTACTATTTCCACAACCATGTGTTTATATGTCTTGGTTGGCAGTTTGAGGAATGATAATGAGTTGTTTGGAGGTTGTCCATGTGTTACAGAGTGCACAGTGACAGACAGCTGCACGGTGTGTAAGAGTGTGCGCCTGAAGAGGACACTGACTTACTTATTCAACATTCTTGCGATTCCAAAGTCCCCCAGCTTTGCTTTCATCCCTCCACTGGTTAGGAAGATATTCTAGGCCAGAGGGAGAGAGGGAATGAAAGCATGCATGTGTTGTGCGAGTTGTGTGCATGAAAACAGATATGAGTGATGATAGACAGTGATAGTTGTGAACAGAGACGCAGTCAGTGGTCAGTGAGATATTCTGAGAGTTGGCATTCAATGTGGTGTTTGTTCAGAGCTCTATAATGATAATGCTTGTTAATTAAAATGTCTAACCTGAAGTCTAAATAAGAGAACATTCAATCTTTGTTTCAGGATTTGTTAGAGTCCAATCAAAATGCCATACACAACCATATCTAAAAGGGACTGTGACAAAAGTGGTAGAGGATATCTAAATGATAAGACATTTTTTTACCAAAACACTGCAAACTAATAGCAGCAGTAATAAAGAGACCAGTCACCTGAGCTTTGATGTCTCTGTGTAGAATCTTCCTGTCATGGATGTGTTTGAGACCCAGGCAGATCTGAACAAACCAGTCCACGATCTGAGAAAACGCAGCACAGTTTTACTCACATTTTCAAAACCTTAAAGAGCAAATGATACTGATAATTTTTAAATAAATCAGTGTGCTTTTATTTCTGATTTAAATGTAAAAACATTAGATCTTACAGTGACCACATTCAGCAGGGTTAGATTACTGGGTAGGATGTATTCACCTTCTCCTCAGAAAAAGGAAGTCCTCTTTGCATGTGGATCTTCTTCATCAGGTCTCCTCCATCACAGTACTCCATCACGATATACAGGCTGCCTTGATCTACAAAAAGATGGAAGAAATCCTGTGACATGGACATAAACTCAGAGGAGATCCTGTAGTTTTTAAGGACCGAGACTTACACCCACACCTTGAAATGAGGTGATGAAAGAAACTATGTTTGGGTGTTTCATCTTCGACAGCAGTGTCACCTCTTTCTGGGACGATTCCTTTTCTTTTGCTGACATCTGAGCAGGAAACATATTTTTAGACCAACAATATAGTGCTAAATGTGCAAATAAACATAATTTACTCCAACAAATAGTTAGAAAAACATATTTTCACATATCATGCCGTACCTTTCTGAAGCTGATCTCTTTGACCACACACTGTCCATCATTTCCCTTCTTGTGTCTGACCAGGAAGGCTTTCCCAAACGCACCTTCTCCAATCTGCTGGATAACCTCATATTCGTTCATAGCACCTTGAGCACAGTGACAGGCAAGAAAATTACTCTGTAAAGGGATGAAAACACATGCCTATGTAGCAGCTATTGCTACATAAGAATGGTTTTGCATTTGCAAATCTATATTCTTCTATCCACTCATTATGTTAGACAAGGACGACATTTTCACATTTGAGATGGCAGAGATGCACAGAATATTGATAATGCATGTTGAATAATAACAAAATTATGTTTTATTATTTAAAAAAAAACTTTTGTCAATTTCCCCCCAAACAAAATAAACATAATTATGGAGAATATGTAAAAACAGATGTTTAACAAAAAGTGAGTCAAAGGTTTAAGTTTACTCTGCCCAAGGTTTGACTCATAGTCAATTTCAAACCTTTTGAAATATCACAGTCTGTGATATATCAATATAGCTCAAACGACTCTGAATAAGTCGACATTTGGAAACTTTAAATGCATGTTGAGAGTTTTTATCTACAAGCAGCTCAAAGCGAGGCACAGCTGCTACCATGGAAACGGAAACACAGGCTGAAAGCCTCTGAGTTAGCATGCTAGCACGAAGTTCACAGTCAAGTAGGAAAACAGTTTATTTGAATACTTTTTTAAGGTCGTCAGCTAGCTTTTTCCTCTTACCTTTTTAAAAGTTCACAGAATTTGGAGTTACATAATGATATAAGTCGGAAATTCAAATAGTTGAAAAGTCGAGTGGTGTTGCTGTGTCTGTCAGGAAAGTAAAAAAATAGGGCTTTGCCTACGGCAAGCGAGAACGAAAGCCAGAGTGCCTGCTGGGAGTGGTAGTTTATTTATTCATGGTAATGTAAAGAATATATGTAGTTTATATTGCACTAACTTGACCCACCGTGAATCTGTAGATTCCTGACATCAACAAAAAAAGATATTTCCATTGAATGTCTAACGTGGCCTGTTGCTTTCTCCAATTAAACTGCTCCTCAAAACCAAACTTTCAAAACTGTTGTAGATTGTCATCTTTTTTTCTTGGGAAAGCAATCATTTGAACGTTTTTCACCAGTAAATGATCAATTAATGACAAAAATGAATCAACATAAAACAAGTCTAACCCATAATTACAATATCTTTTTAATTAACAAGGCACAGAAGTTTTATTCTTATATTGCCTTTAGTCGTAATACCCAAATCAAACTCTCAAAACTTCTATAAATATAGATTCTGTCAATAAATCACAACAAAAAAATCCCAAAAAGTACCAATTCCAAAAAAAGACTCAAAAGGTTTAGTCTACAAACCAAAACACAGAGTGGAGGATATGCAATGACTTTTTCATGCATATAATTCAAGTTTTGATCTTTTTGTCTAATATTAGCAAATGTAGAAACCAGGGGTCTAATCAGAACTGTACTTTTGAAAATCCTTCACTCTGATCCATCAAGGTGACCCGTCCATCCACTGCTTAACACCTGGCTCATTTCACATCATCCTCCTGTGTAAGGCCCTCTAATTTGTACTTTGATCATGGACGAATTTCCACTCAGATCAGATGACATAGGCTGAGCTGCGACAGCTGATCGTGTGTCGGTCCTCCTAAAAGACGACACAACACGTCCTCATCGGTGGTGGAAGGACTGAGAAAATTACATCAACTTCACATGAACCAATCGAGAAAAAAGCACAAAGGACTATCGATAAACTTTTTCCCTTTTTTTTTATTGGTCTGTTTACATATTTTAAGAGATTATATACACAAATCAGTAAAACAAGAGGAGTTATCCCCCCAAAAAATTACACATTCAGAAAATATAGAGACATGCCTGTGAAAAAGATTTGAAAGTGTGTGTTTTCTGTCAGCTCACACTTCCTTGGATTTTTCTTTTACAATTTCAATTCTGTTTATTTAAAGCTAAACAAGTAAAGCACACTTTCAGACTTACAATTTAAGATACATTTCCAGTTAAAGAATAAACTGGTACAGTGTATTAATAGCTACAGCAGACATTATACCAAAAGGACAAAAGTCTCCCTGGACTGATGAGGTTAAAAACCAGGATCAGTGGTACAAAAGTTCCTCGTTCTCTTAAAATTTTAGATTTTAACTGAAAGCAAGAGAAATGTTAAATTTGTTCACGTCTATGAAAATAAATGTTTATGCTATCATTGCAGTTGCTTTGATTACAATAATTTATAACTGAATACGCGGCTGGCTATCAGCTAGTTGTTATTTGTAAAGAACCCGAAATGATCCCCTGCGGAAATGTGGAAAAATACTCAAAGCTTTGCCTTTTTTTAAACCTTTTTTAAGCAATCAACGTTTTGCCCAACAGCTTCACATTTCACTCCCCTCACTCACTCAAACTACCTGAAGGAAAGGACAGAAAACAGAGAAGCGAGGATGAAGATCACAATCTCACTGCACGCCAGCGACTTTAACAGCTGTGCTGAGGCGCGGAGGCGTGTTAAGGCTCACAGATCAGAGTCTCCACCACAAACTTATTCTCAAAGTGACGGATCTTGCGGCAGTTGAGGGCCTCACGCTTCTGCATACCTGTGAAACAAGAGGACGTTTGGTTTAATTTCACCATGCTGCTCGCAATTTACAGTAGTAGTAGCTCAGCCCTTCTCAGTAACTTAGCATGCCTGTTAAAGCAAAAAGCCGGGATTCAAAAGGTAGATTTCTAACTAGCATAAAATTGCACAGAAAGTTTTATCCGGTGCCTTAGAGAAGCACCTTCGAATTCCAATTTAATAAAAAAATAAAGTATGCAACTGTACATTTTTATGAGGCCAAAGCTAATCAATAAGCATTAATTAGCAGTTAACTACAAATTATTTTAACCCAATACAATTCTTTCAAAAAACATAAAAATGGCTGCCATCTTTTTAAGTGGTTATAGATCTTTTAACTTTTTTGTGGGTCCTTTGCATCATTGTAGCAAAAATGGGGCTTGTGTCTCACAGTGAAAGACTGTTATATGTTCAGATAAATAAAAGACTTACCCAAAATCCTGTCCCTGCGCTGCAGTTTGAAGGTTTCTTTATCATGGCAGAGGTTATAGATGGAGACGCCCAGCTGTTCCACGTGCCCCAGGCGCTCGGTCACCATCATCTCCTCATGGACCAGGTATGTCTGCGGCAGGTAAATGCCGGCCTGGGCGGACGGAGGAACGCGACACAAAGAAATCGAGGGACTCAATTAGTCATTGTTCTGTCGGTTAAAATGGATGGATGGATGAGCACTGAAGTTTTGGCTTCGATGGGTCCACCTGCTGGGAAGCCTTCTGTTACCTTGATGTTGATGAGAAGCTCCAAAAGGTCTTTGGGGGGAAGGACGATGGAGGTGTTGAGTGGGATGACGTAGCACTTGTTCAGGCTCAGATCCAGGTAAGCAGTCAGCCTCTGAGAAGGAAGACGGACATTATTAGCTCTAAAGAAATTACTGACAAGCAGCCTTAACTAGTATTCAAATCAGTGCATAGACACTTGGATACAAAGCGACTTAGGAAGGATTAACAATTGAGTGTATTTTAAGAAACATTTAACACTAACAGTTACAACACTGAGACAGGGATAGTTAGAAGTGGTGTTGGTGATAAGCCTCATTAAGCGGTGGGCTTTATTTCCAGGGCCTTCTTTTTTTATTAAGGTCATAAGATACTGGAACAGGAACCAGCAGAAAAATATGCCATGATGGGTAAGGGGCGGAGCTTCATCATCCAGCTCGGATCAAGACGGATTCCAAGCCGTCTTACCCGCTGGAAGTCATGGACGATGTCTGCTGGGTCTCCATCCTCAAAGTTGGGCACGGGTATGGTGATTAGCTCCACCTGCTCCCTCTCCAGCACCTGGATCCTCTCCTCCAGCAGCCGCAGGTGGAATCCATTAGACAGCTCCACCTCCACCTAAAGGACCAGTGGCAATTTCAAACATAGTCAAAGGGAGCTCTACTCAAACGGAATTAACAGAAGATCAAACAAACTAAAAATCAGCAGGACAGTTAATCAGTTTTGTCATATTCAGAGCTTTGACGTACATCCTCCTCCTCTCGGATCATGAAGTTCTCCTCACGGTACTGCGTCCCGCAAAAGTACACCTGGTGTTGCTGAAGGGGTGGAGAGGAAAAAACACAGTGTGAAGATGGAGGCAAAAAAACAAAACAACAACGCTTACATAAAAAGCCCAAAGCCCAGCACATTAATGAGCTGAGTCTCTAAACACAAATCCGGTTGTGCCTGCTTCCAGTGTAGGGATGTTACACACTCAGCAACAACAGAGAGGACTTTTTCCTTTTGATCACACCTCAGGTATTTGCTGAAAGTAAACAGCCGGCTTACCGAAATGAAGAAACAGCACAGCGTAATGTTGAGAGCTACAGCCCCTCTTTGTTCTTCCACTAAGTTTTGTTCATTAAAGGGCATCTTAACGCTGAAACCTGTCTGCTGGGGCATTTAGCTCCACTGATACTGAGCTATTTCAGTTCCCTTTTTTGTTTTTGTTTGTATCGTATCTGGATTTACTCTGTCTTGCGAAGCCTTGGAAGCATACATCTGATAACTGTTTAATAGGTACTGTCCATCCCCTGTGAAGCGTTTGCTCACCTCTCCAGAGTAGTATTGATACAGGTAGACTCCTGCAACCACCATCCCAGACAGCATGAGGGCGAGACCCAGACACATGCACCAGCACCAGGTCCGAGACTGGCCACGCAACACCAGAGCCCCCTCTGGATCCTGAAGGAGACAAATGGACGTCAGAGTTATACCAGACCATTTTGAATGGTCCCCACCATGTTAGTGAATTCACTAACAGACAGGAAGTCCTTCAACTGCATTTACATCATATGCTCTGAGAAATCTGTTTGGAAATCACTAAACCGCCTTGAAGTTAAAAGAAGGAAGACCTGCAAACAGCACATCGGCTGTCATCTGTTTAATGTGCCATTTTCCACATGGAGAAAATGAATGCCAATGTTGAGCACAGATTAAATGTTTTCAAAACGAAATGTTTCTTATGAGGGCTGGGCAGTATTGCTGGATCATCAGTACTGACAAGATTCATCTGGAGGCAGCAACAAGGGGGGAGTTATTTGAAAAACATCATATCCTCGACAACAAAAAAATCCATGAGACAGCATCCTGTTTTCGCAGTTTATTATTATCTTCATTCCCACTTAACTGTAATCTAAAAGTGGGTCTGCATTTTTATTCGGATTCTATAAAAGGCCGATAAATATCAAAACTCCTTCCAGCTGTCAACACAGCTCCTGGGCTGAGAACAAAGAGGTCAGAGGCAGAGCGCAGTCGGCTCGACCTGCTGGGAGTCTGGAAGCTCTCCAAAGACAGACGGCCGGGGGCCAGGGAGTAACGCGGGGGTCTGTGTGTGAAAACAAGAGCTTTCCTTTCAAGGCCCGCATCCCTTCTCAGACACACGGAGCAGCAGGATGACTCATCGTCATTCAAACCACAGACAGGGAAGCAGACGGAAAAAAAGGTGAAGGGGAAAGGGAAAACCCAGATAAAATAAAAGCCTCATGCATTCGCTGTACTGTACGATATTAAAGCCGAAAAACGGGGATAACGACTGTCCGGTGGGACGCTGCCCTCCTATTCAGTTTAGGTGACTATTCCACAACCCGAAATAAATCAGCGGACAGATCTACAGACGGGCAGCTGCCAGGAGGACGCAGACGCTGCTCCTCTCAGAACAAGCCTCAACCAGCATGCTTTCATCTCCTCCTGCAGGAACTCGGCAAACCTCTCATTAACGGGAGCATTTCTGAGGCTCCGCGGCTCGATTCCTCAGACTAAAGTTGCTTTAGTTTTTGGTGTTGCGTCTGAAAATAGACCCTGTGGTTTCCGTTACAGAAACAAAGTCAGATGTGTTACTTGTTCTCTTTCTCAACACAAACGTAGCTTCATTTTCAGATCTCCTGAAACTATGGGGACATTAGAGCAACTCTCCCCCTCTGGGAATTTTTCTTTTTCAATCCAAACAAATCCTTCAGTCATCAGCATAATTATCTGAATGATGGTATTTATATCAAATGGAGGAACGTCAACGCTTGATATTCTAGAGGAATGAATACCACTGTGGAGTCTGCATGATAAAAATCGGCCCTCTTAAATACATGTTTCGCAGTAGCATAACAGCACTTAGCCTCCAGAAGCACACTGGTGCCTCAAAGTTTACATTTCAGCGCACAGGAAAATGAAGAACGGCGGTTCCTGGTCTCCAGTTCGATGACAGGATGCAGTTTGTATTCGCTGTGCAGTTCTGGCCCTGGAAGCAACTCTTTCCAGAGACAATGCTCTGGCTGACGTGTTTAAGAACAGCAAACATTCAAACATCTAAACAAGTCAGGGCAGACTCCGAGAGATGGTATATCTTTAGCTTTTTTTAGTGAAAGGGTTCGTCGACTGAGAATTGGGAAGTAAAAACTGAGCTGCTCACCAGAAAGTGACTCTGTGGCAGACTTTGGGGCCGTCTGTTTGCTGTGATAACACGATACCACCAGGACACAAACACTTCCTGCTGTTGTTTCTGTTAACTCAACAGACAGTGAAAAGCACAAACAGCCACCAAAGCTGCTCAGAAAGGGCACAATGACAACAGTAACTGTGAAACTGGGTTTTTTTTGGCCGTAAAATTGGTAGAATCTTTTCGAAGTCCCCCAAAGTTCCGGGGAAAGGCTTGCTGACAGGCGCTCGGGTCCATCTGACTAAACATACGGCAACATACCGTTTTCTGCTGTGGTCTGTAAAGATACCTGACCTGATTAGATAGATTTGTACGTTTTTTTTTTTTAGAATTAGAGCCGAGTTTGTGCTTTCTCCGTGAGAGAAAACACCACAGTTAGAGGAAGTAACTGTTTTCAGAAACAGTAAAAAAACGGACAGTCAGCCCCTTCAGAGCGTCGACTCGGCATACGGGAAGCAAGAAAAAACAACATCCCCCATGGTGGTTTTGCTGGACGTCCACAAAAGAGGAACAGGCGAGGCCGTTTGAGACGGCCTGAAAGCCCAGAGCGAGAGCAAACAAGAGGAAGTTCAGACTGAAGGTTTGTGCAGAGGCCGAGAGCGCCGGCGCTCGCTGTTAAGGGGCCGGTCATTTGACAGCCGGACGGGGAGATACTAAAAGGGGACATTTCCTCAGGCTTTTCTCCATCGGCTGTAAAGCTCGGGTCAACTCGGCTGAGTGGAGGTTCGCTCCAATCACTCACATGTCTTTAGCCTCCGAGCAAAGGAGAGACGAGCTCAAAACAAAACGAGATTAAGAAAAGGCTTAAGAGGTGTCCTGGGAGACAGAATATTAAACAGTTGGGTTCAGAGGCTGCCTGGCTTCCAATGAAAGGCTGCGCAGCTCTGGCAGTTACTTCATTTTCTTTTATTTCCATCCGGAGAGGCTTTACGAGCGCGTCGGCCTTTCAAGCTGGAAGATATGAACAAAAATCAATTCCGAGGATACACAAAGGCAGACGCAGGTGGCAGCCATGTCAGAGCCGCACTGTCTCTGTCACAGAATCTTAATAAATCGTAACGGTAACAATGTACAAACGGACGGGCTGAACAGGAAACTAGGCCTTTCCTTAGGGACTACATATTCCCACAGTGACAGATGTTTTGTTGATCTATTGTGATTCTTGTTTTAGAACTTTCCAACTCGTGTAGCTAAACTATCTGGTGGGACCTTTTCGTTCTTCGTCTAGCTCTTGGTGGACAGATTTTCCTGTTTTCCAAGTGTTTCGTAAAAGCTCCGCCGTCAAAACAAGACCCAACAGGCCTTCAGAAGAGTGTTTCACAACACACAATTATCACCGCACTTTTTACACTTTTAAAATGGAGCCGACGCCTCGTACGGAGGGGACAAAATGTACAGCCAGAAATTCATGTGGGAAATCGATTACTGTAACTCAATAAAGGGACTAAAAAAGGAAAAGAAATGACATGCATCCGCCCACATAGTAGTTACAGAGTCTTGCTCTTACTTGGTGTGCTGCTCTCTCAGAATAATCAAGATTCAAAGTAAAAATACATACTTGTATCTATATTTTTAGTTAGTGGAGCAAATAAGTTATGTGGACTTGATTCATTTTTAATTTATCTTCTGTACATAGTTCATCTTTTGCTCTGATTCTTTGGCTTTGCAAATGTTTGGTTCTATTTTAATTCATGAAATGAATATGTTTTATGGTCTTCAGTCCTGGGTAAACCAACTATTATTAGTGTTATCAATAACCACAGTAAAAACAAGGCAGTGAGGCTGGTTTTCTGTTATCTTCTCTGGGATTCTTGTAAACATCTGAAGCGGATAAACCTGCAATATCCACCTGACCACATCTTGTGTTTCGGTTGCTGTGGAAACAGGTGAGTATTGGTGTCCAGGACAGATTTGATTTCAGCCCACCGCCACCAATGTGTGTAACTCCATCCTCTGATCTCAGCTTTGTGAAGCCTGATGGAGGCCAATGGGTTAAGTTAGTGGAAAAAAAAGGCCATTGATGGGATGAATATAAGCATAGACGCTAAAATACTCCACCAATCAATAAGCTGCAACCAGCAAATAATCAGCCCCTCAAATCCAAAGGTCAAAGATATAAATTCTATTAGCAGCACTTAAACCACTGAAAAACATTTCTGACCTTAGTTGTACAAATAAACAAGATAAAAAAGGTGTTAGGAATCTGAAAGGAATTAGATACATGTCCTTTTCCTGTTACTTTTCAGAGCTGTTCTGCACTGCTCAGAGGCTGTCTGGACCACAGAGCAGTTGGGCATCGCGTTTTCCTGTTTGGTTAATCTTCCTTCTTCTTAAGTTTTAGTGGTTGGTGGCGCTTAGTGGGAGGCAGCTAAAGCCCTGCCCGATTAAAGTGTAATGCTTCAAAAGCAGACCACATGCCTGAGACGCCAGCCGGAGCACACACAGGCAGAGAGCTGTGTGAGCAGCCAAGAAAAGGGTCGGACCATAATCCAAATCTATAATTAGGTGTGCTGGTGTATGCAAAGGTAGAGTCAGAAAATACCTTTATTATCATACCTCTATTAACCCTAATGATAAGACGAGAAGGAAACATTTAATTTAAATTCCTTTTTCATTCTAAAGAACACAGCTGATGGTGGCAAGCTTCTTAAAGAGAAAATGGCAGCCATGGTGGGAAGACTTAAGTCCATAGTCAGCCACAATAAGTAAAAAGGAACAGTTGTGTTCTGTTCATATGGAACATCTGATATTTATTCACATCGTTATTCACCCGTTCTTTCATTTTGCATATATCTATTTTGGTTAGCTTTGGTTATGATTTGTCAGCTAAACAACTGTAAATTCAAATAACTTCTTATTTCTCACTTCCCACAAACTTACTTACTGAGCACCTAAAGAGGAAAAAATCAGGAAAGCACCACTTGGAGTCCAAAAACATTTGATTCAGGGTATGAGAAGGAGTTACCTTCTCTCCTACCCCACCAGAAGCAGAGTTAAAGTTAAAACATGCTCTTTTGCCTCTTCGACACATTCCTCTGATTCTTGATTTGAAATATGCATGCAGATGGCACTCATTTTATTACTCGCCAAAGGTATTTTACTATAATACTTCAAACTGTGAGGCCTGTTCTATGGGCATACACTGACTTGAATTCACCATGCTGAGGGTTACTTTTTAACATCTGACACAATTTATCAGATACAGAAACCAAGAAGTTGACTATTTCCTGTTTTTTCTATTCTGATCTATTCTATAGATAAAAGCAGATTCTCTATA